GTTTTTTATCTGCAAACCATCGATGTAGCTTGTCTCGGAAGTCAGTCTACGTTTGACTGTTCACAACAAACTGTTTTGTTTCACATACCGACGACGTGCTGTTTCGAACATAATAAAACAGCAAATCGTAGTCTCTCAAAATCACAAGACGACATGAAATGATATCGAACGGCAGCTTGAAATGGAATGATACCTGATTGTACTTTGACTTTGAAATCCTAGGCTGGATCAATAGCTGAGAAGCCTCTTTATAATATTTGATTTTTTATGTATTTTTTAAAAATAAAAAAACCTGGTAAAAGACTCTTTGATCTTTAAAATTTTACTATAATTACAAATCCAACCAGTATCCAAAAACTGACCCGGATCCATATCTTCTAAAAACCTAAATCGCTAACTTCTTCCAGAAAAAAAAAGTTTCTCATCTTCTTTTCTCTAAAACGGCGGAGCCATCCTTCTTCGTCGGAGTCTTCAATATCAATCAGTCGTCTTTCCCGTCGTTGAGTGTCGTCTCTCATCTCTGAATCTTTCTCTGAAGGTAAAAGTCTCTCATCTCTTAGTCTTTCCCGTCGTCGTCGTCCGTTGGGTTTCGATTTTGAGTTAAGAATTTGGAGTTTCGGTTTTTGGGTTTCAAGAATAGCGGTTCTCTACTTTGTAGGTTTGATTTTGTAGTTGTGACTTTTGGGATTGAGAAAATAAAATATGGGTTTAGGGTCTCGACACTGAAATTTGGGAATTTACGTTATCGATTTTTGTTGGATGAAATATAATAGATTATGGATTTTCCTACTAAAATATGTAACATCCAACTGATTGTGTCTGTTTTGTTTTGATCATCCAGGAATCAAAATGCCTCTACTTAGGAAGAACTCTTCTCGTGGAAGAGGAAAGTCTCCTCCTCCTCTTCCTCTACTAGCAGAAATGGAAGGAGAAACTGATCATGAAGAAGAAACGACAGCTGATGATTTTTCTTCAAAAAATGGTTCTGCAAATATTAGATCTCGAAAGGGAAAAAGATCTACAGAAGCTGGATCCTCAAAATTCGGGTATTCTAATCCTGAAACTTTAAATGCCAGATCTACCGTGGTAATTAGATTCAAAATGTATTCATTTTTTGGAATAGATGTGGTATTGTTTGTTGAAACTGGAAAGATAAATTGTTTTGGTACAAATAGGTATTATAGGTACAACTACTTGTTTTGGAACTGTTTTGATATAAATAGGAGTACTAGTTACAACTAAGCTCAAATTGTTATGGTACAAATTGGACTATTAGGTACAACTAGATGTTTGATTTGTTTAAGTTAGTACTACTAGTACAAGTAGGTATTATTACGTACAACTGTTTGTTGATGTTGCTTGATTCTTCTCGTACAACTAGGTATGAGTATATATAATTATTTGTTGATGCTGTTTAGTTCTTCTTGGTGGAAAATTGTGTTTGATTGTAGGAAACCGAGGAGGATATG